TACCTAGTTTTGAAGATATTTCTAAACGACTTAATTTAAATGATTTTCTGTGGGCGGTTAATCAAACTAATGTTTTTTTAAAGGAATTAAAAATATTGCTATTAATAAAATAATTCAAAACCTTATTGATAATGTGACATTTGGTTAGTGAAGGATTGGTGTTAAAATTTTGTGATTTTATCATTATTTCCCTGATAACTATTTCCGATATTTTTTATTTCCTGTATTAAAAACAATGCTACTTTGTACTTCTTCTACTGCTACTTTATTCTAATTATATTATTTGTTACTTGTGCTGTTAATTACAATTCTCAATCCGTTAATAATTTCTTCTTTCTACCGTGTTCGTACTACTGTCCTCGTAAAATCATCGTAACCGATTGTTGTAATCGGATTACAATTAACAACGTGAACATCACTCGACCATGTATGTCCATTTGGACATATCGGAATGGCACGCTTTGACGAGCAACTTGCTGTATCTACTCCAATCCATATCTGTGGGATAGACTATAATTCATTGTCCGCATAGCACTGCTGCAGTGAAACAACATCCAGGCGGCTCCTGTACCATTTTAACTTTACTGTAGCCTTATTCACGTAACAAAACTTCAACGACAACAAAACACTGAGTTGCGATCCTATCAAGTAATCGTTTTATCGAAAACGACTCTTGTGAATACGGATTTAGAACTGTTTTTCAATGGGACGACTTCTGAACGTCAGCGAGATCTTGACTGTCAAAATACGTGAATTAGGCCACTGCTCAACGTCATCGTCATCATCTCAACCATTGGTAGTAGACTCTTCCAAGGAGCTCTACAAAGCATGGGCGATTTTCCGGTTGTTTTTTGTTTTTTAAGTTTTTAAATTGTTTTTACCTGTGGGAACCTATAAGTGGTTTACTCGTTGCCTATCTTATGTCATTATTACACACTGTAAAACCCTGGTTTTCCTAAATAAATAAAAAAATTAATAGTTAAAAATTGGGGAATAGGCAACAATTTCTAAATGTATCTCATGACATTCTTCTTTTTATACATACCGTATTTATTAAATTAGACCTTCCCTAAATTAAGTGTCAGACCTCAGTCAACTACGTAATGGGTTTCGAATGCTTCTATTAACTCATCTTTCGAGATAAGTATGTCTTTCCAAACAAACCCAGCATAAACCAACAACTTACCACAAAAAAGCTGGACTGATATTTTATTGTATAGAATTTGAGTATCTTCTTTTTGATCCTGGGCGGGAGTTTTCTCTGGTTTATGTACAAGTCGACTTGACGCATCATGGTGAAGTATTTGGCTGCTGCCGACTCCTGGCCGTATACTGATATTATGTATATGAACGCGCAATGGTACACCAGCAGCTATAACAGAAGTATAAAGCCGGATACTCATTAGTGAGCTGTAACTGTAACCGTCGCGTTGCATGCACTGTAACCAAAAAACATAGTGTGTACGTGGTTTGTAGGTTGTTCGGAGGTCAGCGAACCACGCACGCACTATGTTTTTTGGTTACAGCTCGCTAATGAGTACCCGGCTTTAGGCAAACTCCTACAGTATATTATGTAAAAAATCCGATCCGATATACGGAAATATACAATGCCATTCTGAGACAATACCTTTGCGATCAGCCATGACGCTATGTAAAACGTTTCATAGCAATCTTCCTCTCTCATAACGTTTAAGTTAAAATTCTTCCTTAGCATGTTGACTAAAAAGGGAAATTGGTGGTTTGTTTATTTAGTGAAGTATTTTGTTAGTAGCGCGTATTGATAGGCCTAGGGCTTAACCAGAGTAAATACAAATGAGTAGGTCATCTTTATAGAAACGCACCGAGCGCGGTTTGTATGTGAGCGCGCCAAAGTAGGTACGTATGCGGCGCGCACGCACACACTGACAAAAATTCGACGCAACTTCCCGCTAAATTTTGTCAGTGAGTGCGCGCGCGCCGCATACGTGTTGGCTCGCTCACATACAAATCGCGCCCGTGCGTTTCTATGAAGATGACCTACTCATTTGTATTTACTCTGGCTTAACTAAGTCGGTGCCTGTGGTATCGGATCATCACGGGTTGGTGATTTTGTGACTGTCAAACGTCAGTGAGACTTCAGATCTTCGGATTTGTGTGCTCTGTCACGTCATAATAATAATATGTCAATGTCACACCTCGTGTCGCTCCAATATATTAGGCACTGATTGAGTTAAACACTAGACCAATACTTACTAGCTCTTTCTAAAGAATATACGAATCGGACTACCGACGTCTCATTCCACAGTTTTGCCATTGTCATCCAGGAACATTTACGGGGATTCTGAGGACTGTACGAACCTTCAAGGATATACTCCGTCGCAAATTGCAAGTATATGTTCCATACTACATACGTGTATATGAACATGAATATTTCAACAATTGTTTTCATTTTCAACTGAATGTAAAGAAACAAATGGATTATCAACTCTGGTAGCAGCAGTTAACTGCGCACCTGGCAGCTGTGATGTCACATCGACGCTCTGGTAAGCAGGGTACTCATCTAGCTGTGTAGCATGTAATGTATCAGATACTGTATCAAGTGAGAGGCACGAGCCCGCTGCGAGCTGCTCGCGCGTGGTTCGCAGGGAGATCGTAGCGGCCCGCCGAGTGGCGGTATCACTGCGAGCACAAAGGCGGCTCGCAGTAGGATCCAGGAGCTCGCAGCCAGATACGCGATGACCGTGGACGAGCCGTACTCACTTAAAGGTTGGTTACGTTACATGCTACGTTACGTGCTACGGCAGGTGAGTACCCTGCCGTATAGAGTCGCATTCCAGCAAGGAGTGCAGTTAACTCGACCGGGTTTTAATTGTGACCTCATTATTGACAGATATCAAAATAATCAAATCACTCACATTAACCTTGAAAGCTTGCATAATATTATACATGTAGATATACAGGACCGGCAGTCGAAATATCTTCATAGTCTCCAGAATAAGGTGTGGCGTTACATCTGGTATATGTAGCATCACAGGCAGAAATGACACTGCAGCTATCAGGTCGACAATGAGCCAAGTCCTGGAGTACTTGCAGAATATACTCTTCAGGTCGAGGACCACGTATTTGTACGTGTAACCCTCGAGATAGCCGGTGAAGCAGTTTGCAAGGATGTTAACCATGATGAGGACGTCCGAAATGTACATCAGGATGACATCGTAGTCCTTTAAAGAAAACTATTGTATCTACAATTTCAGCACGTGTATAGCGGGGAGGCCGTGGTGCCCCCCAGGATGTTGGGCTACCAATTTGAAGATGGTAGTTGATAGTACTAACCATGAGCTAGATACTAATCGCACACTCAATATCTTGATCCCCCACAAATTAATAAATAAATTAGAACATTAAAAGCTGAAGTGTCAAGTAAAATATGGGTTTCTCGCGTAAAGCCCCAGTCTAGTCGGTTTGATCAATACACTAATTCAATGACACCCCGCAAAATACAGACTGTTTGTTGGTGGATAGTGATATCGGCTGTAAGTAATTATGTACATGTATGCGAGCAACCCAGGACCGGTCGTTATAGAAATCCTTGGGGGGTGGGCATTATCCAGGAGTGGATTCATTTGGTTGAAACTAACGATTTGGTTCGGCTGATTCCTCAGACAAGAAGCCGACCAAACTATAGGCCGACTAAATATAAAAGTCTGTAGTCTTAAAAAAAATATTCAACACAGGAAATAAGTTGGGCAGGTACTTTCTACCTTTGTCGACATATCTTTTACCATATGTATACGAGTCTCGCTGAAGTGTATTGCCATGAAGGTGTTAGACATCATTATGGACAGCACGAACAGTATCTCCAGCCATAGCCTCAACTTGCTGTAAGGGTGAATGGATAGGGGGTAGTACGCGTACTGGCGGTACTTTTCGGCGCATAGAGCGGCGTATGACCTATAAATAAAAAACATTATGTATTGTACATCTAATAGTAGAGACATAACTTTCAGTCCTACTTACTGCCTAGGCACTAGAAGGAAGATTCATTTTTATAAAATTTCCGTACCACTATTGGTATCGCAACAATGGGAGTGACAGGAGTGGACGGGAACTTAAAAATCTTAAAGTAACCATGCGGTATTTTTAAGATATTATTACTTACTTACTGAATTTCTTCTATAATACTGACTCTACTTCTTATTGATCAGAGTACCTACTTAAAGAATTACATTATCTTACCAGAATTCTCTCGAATTCTCTCTCATTTTGTTACCTATAGTACTCAGAATGTATGTAACTAAACTTATACAAGTAGCTGTTTAGTTTTATTCTGTTTGTAATGATGTTTTGTTATATTCTGTTTGTAATGATGATATTTTTTATATAACTACGATACCTTTGGATAACATGGATTTTCCACAGAAACAACAATGCATCCCATATTTTTATAAGACATGTCGATCTTCTTTCAAACAATTGAACACAGTAATACTAACTTGTACATATCCCTGGCTCTTATATCATCGCTCCTCACTGTAGTGAGGTCCAAAATAAACTTTCGCCACTTGGAGCATTGTATCCCGAAGGCCGACAGTTTTTCGGCTGGCAGATGGCACTGGTGCCCTTGGAAATAACTGTTAGGGATGAGTACGGGCTGAAACTTTTTCTCTCTGGGCATTTTCATTTTGCTGCTTATTTTAGGTGCTTGATACAAATCCTATTATCGTTTTGGGAAAATTCCAAAATTCGACAGGCTTTCAGATCGCCCACAGATAAAATTAAGACCATAAAGAATTAGATGCAAAAGGTTCTGTTTAAAAAAGTATTAATATTGATGACCATAATGAAAAAGCTACTTTTGCCTACAGATTCAATTTCAGAAATATTTTTTTGGTCTTGGAGGTTTTCGGTTATTCATTTGTCTGATTAAAACATACATAGGGGAATAAGGATTAAAATAACACAAGTAAAGAACATTGTGAACAAAAATAAATACACAATTTATTTTAAAAATAGATGCAAACGTTAACAACAACTTTATAATGATATAGGTACTTTTAATAATACCTACTACAACGTTTGTACCGTAACATTATTGTGCTTATTAATGATCTTCTATCAAACTCCAGGGTATAACTTCTTTGCCTATTCGCCACGTATCGGCACAGGTTTTGGAGCAAAAAGCTGCACTGAGTATCACATCGGTCATGTTGTCGATAAGGACTATTTTCCTGAAATGAAAGAATTTTGTTTCATAATGTCATTGTATCTTTTTTGGGTCAAACTGTTAAACCGCATAAAATTCTGTTTGTCACAGGTCGATAAAAATGTTAGTCTGATGTTTATGTTACGGTAAATGTGAAAATTATTAATAATCGCCGGTTGTTATGAATAATTACCTCATGATTTGGTGAATGTGATTAATATGAGATTATTTATGTGTGCATAAAACTAAATATGCGGCTTAGGGGTGGCCCCTTAACCTATTTTTCACTTTAAATCTAAACAATATGTTATGGGCATTATTGCAAAGTAATGTTACGCAAGAAACAGTCCAAACTCATTATGCCAAATTATATGAATATTTATGATATCAAAACGTTCAAATGTGTGGCTGTACACGAGCACTATAGGTATACACAAGCCGTTGTTCTCTTTTATGATATTTGTTAGTAGATACCTACTAAGGTAACATGATTAAATAATCACTGATAAATGTAATTAATTTATTACTTTTACCTCGACTGTCGGTAATTATTCAATAACACTGTTAAGTTTCATCGAAATCCGTTCAGTTTTTGCGTGATAGAGTAACAAACATCTATCCTTACAAACTTTCACATTTATTTATATTAGTAGGAAGTATAATCTCCAATGTTACATTTTTAAAAGACTAGTAATTTAGTTTTTAGGCGCGTAGGTTACTTACCCAAAACAGAATTCGTAAAATACAAAGTCGAAGACTGGAATTTTGCACAAAGCATTTTCACATCTTGATACTGGCCCATTACTCAACTCAACCTTCATGAACTGTGGTAGAAATCTGAAGTGTTCATTTAGTATATCACTCGGCACGTAATAACTTCTTACTTTTCCACTATTACTGATCTTATTCAATGGTGTTACAGTATTGTTTCCATTGATATCATAATTGCTATCAATATTGAATTCTTCGAAGTTTTGTTCAAGGTTTCTTACATTATTATAATTATAATCTCGCCATGAGGAAATTTCGTTATGATCTGTGTGCCTTTTAGCAATATCACTTAAGATTTGGTATATTTTTCTTCTGGCAAGCTCATAAAGACTAGGTGGAAAGATTTTGTTTCTTCCCATTATTTTATCATGTTGTATAGGAGTGTTAATATCTATTTCCCTTTCTCTAGAACCTTGAGCTATTTTTAATCGAATTTTCTTATTTGCTGCTGGAAGATCCGTTTGGACGTTTAAGCATCTGAAATAGAAAGACTGTTATTTACTTTGACCAATCATCATCAACAGCCCTTTACAGTCCACTGCTGGACTATGAGCCTCCTCCACTATAGTGGAGGGTTTTGCCATAATCTCCACGCTAGGCAGGCGGGTTGGAGATCGCAGTTTAAAAGATTGATGTTTTTTAGAGAGCGCTGCTGCCCATTCTCTGTTTGATGTGTAGTCCCTAAGTCGCCTCTTACGACACCCGCGGGAAGAGTAGGGGTTGGTGACAAATGTATTCTACTCTGCCGTCACCACACGGCACTTTGACCAAACAATCAAATATTTTACGAATGAAATAATGAAATTTCAAATGCTCATCATGAACGTTATATTTTAATGAAAGTCTTTAGAGTAATCTACGATAATTATACTTGTCTGTCAAGGAGTATCGTCTTCCACGACTAATTAAAATTTAATAAGCTTGTTAGCTATTTATTTTATCAAAAGGGGAAATATTTATTTGTATAAGGAGTTGAAATGGCTTTCATGGATGCTTATATTTTATTCTAACTTTGTGTTTGTATTTTATATAATAATTCCTTCTGTATTCATTTATTACTTTCTCTTATTTGTCAGGACTAACTTAAATGCGCCTAAACCTTTAGTTCTGTGGGGTTTTTTAAGCAGGTAATTGATCGCAATCACACCTTATGTTAAGTGCGATGCAGTTTAGGATGGTACATTTTCCTGGTGGTACATTTTATTGATTAGTTCATTTAAAAATATGAGTAGGTATAGATACTTTTATTAGCCAAGCTGTACTCACTACTATTTAATTAAAGATTAAGGCACTAGAGTAACTACAATAAAGTTAATATAAGTAATTACACACACAGCAAAGTGCCAGTTTAAAAGATACCTATTATAAACTTTAACCTGATTCTTCAGATTCCATACTTTTGCTCGTAAGTAGAAGGAAGGATGTACTAAAATAAAACGTACCCTATATTCAGACTTCTGGTTTGCTGGTCGCGGAACATGTGGTACCATAGCGAGTATGGGATCGTCTTCAGCCTCAGGTTCCTCCAGAACCTGAACTCACAGTGGTGGTAGTTGTACACAGGCTTTTGGGGGAGCCATTGGATTTGGTTATCTGGAATAGTAATAGTTTAACATAATTAATAATATTGTTTTTTGCACATGAATATTAGAGTGTTAAACTCTAACTAATATATCATTTGATCGTTTGACTAAATAGCTCTACAATTTACCCCAGAAAAAACTGTTAGGACCTACATTCTATCAGTGGCGGCGTAGCATGGGTTGGCACCCGGGGCGATCACCCCCCCCCCTCCGTCATAAGTCCTAAGGCACCCCCTACCCCCTCCCCCCATTTTGGGGTTACCTACCGATTCGAAGATGCGTCTTTCCATTCTATACATAGCCAGAACGCAAGGGTGTGAAACTAATCGAGTAGGTATAGTTTGGATATGACTTTTTTTACTAAGCTCCTCCAAACTATACACGACCAGTACGCATACGCTGCGTACTGCTCGCGTATACTTTGTAGTGACTTAGGTCAATTATCTTCCTCCAAAATATACATCGCCAGTACGCATACGGACTAATCATGTATGTATTGTAATAAGTGCGTGATTACAATTTATACGCGAGTAGTTGCATGCTAGTCATTTTGACTTATTGACCTCTCTTTCTATTACATACTAGCTTTCCGCCCGCGGCTTCGCTCGCGTGGAATTTTGTCTGTTACAGAAAAACAATATCGCGCGCGTATTTGCTCACCGTTTAGACCTACCCTGGACTACGACAAACATTTTAAAACCAAAATCAGCTCAATCGGCCCAGCCGTTCTCGAGTTTTAATCAGACTAACGAACATCAATTCATTTTTATTTATATAGATAGATTAATTNTTTAATATAAATGTTGATTTCATAACAAAAAAAATTCTTAATTTCGGAACTGCTGTTAATTTAATAATTTTTCGATGTGAAATTGCTAAACATGTGACGTCACAATAGGGAGGGGGGGGGTCTCAGAAATGTGACCACCTGTGACAAGGACGGAGGGGGGGTCAAAAAATCATGAAATTCGTGTGACGTACTTTATGGATGGCCCCTTACTGAATTTCTTCTATAATATTGACTCTACCTCTTATTGACCAGATAACTTAAAGAATTACACTCTTACCAGAATTCTCTCGAATTCTCTCTCATTTTGTTACCTATAGTACTTAGAATGTAACTAAATTTATATAAGTAGCTGTTTAGTTTTATTCTGTTTGTAATGATGTTTAGTTATATTCTGTTTGTAATGATGATATTTTTTATATAACTACGATACCTTTTATTAACGCTATTTCCCAAAAATGGATTTTCCACAGAAACAAAAATGCATCCCATATTTTTTATAAGAAACTAGATGAAAACCCGGCTTCGCTCGGGTGAAATTTGACTCATAATACACAATTCTAGGTGCAAAATGTAGATAGATGTTTCTGTAGTCATCGGTTCTCAAAGAATATTAAATATAGATTCATATAGCTTCGTTAGTTGTGTTTAATAAATATGGTAAATAAAAACTGCAAAAGTTTTTACACAAATTATTTTTATTTTAAATCACCAGTCAAAATAAACTAAGACAAATTAACAAAACAATCAAATTCAATCGTTAATATAGGTTATGTAAATAACTCTTATTAAGGCGGTTATCACACTGCGCCGCGCTCCGCCGCGGAGCGCGGGGCGACAGATTTAATCATTGTATGCAAGTACCTCAGTTTGTATAGAAAACACGCGCGGCACTTCACACTGACAACGCGTCCGCACGCGTGATTTTTTATATGAAAATCACGTTTTTCAGCGTAAAATAATGGGCTAAAATTTTTACGAACAGGAAGTCTATACTGATAAAATTGTAACATTGTAAGACGGCTTCGAGCAGTTCGACTCTCTTCTCTGTGTTGAAGATTTTCATGCCATCCGAGTTCTCCATTAGGAAAAAGTAGAGGAAAGGTTAAAGGGTCAATATTGGGACTGGTTGATTTGAGTGTAGTTAAATGTTGAGAATATTCTTGTACAGAGAAGTCTATATTTAATGGAGGTTCACCGTTTTCTCCTACAAAGATGACCGCTACCTCATTATTTGATGGTGTGTTATACCGACGCAAATCCAGAGATTTATGTTTATAAATCTGCATTGATACCGAATATTTGGGTCGATTTATACTAGCGGCCGCCCGCGACTTCGTACGCGTGGATCCCGTTTTACCCCCTTCATCTATCTTACGCGGTTTAGATTTTTTCATACAAATGTTTTTTCCCGCTAACTCCCGTTCCCGCGGGAATTTTGCAATATCCTGTTGTAACTAAGCTTTACGTTCACTAAGGTACCTGCATGCCAAATTTCAAGCGTCTAACTTAAGCGGTTTAGATTTTTCATACAAAAGGATTTTTCCGCTAATTCCCGTTCCCGTGGGAATTCCTAAGTATCCTATAACCTGCCCAGGAGTATGAAGAATAATTGTACCAAGTTTCGTCAAAATCCGTCAAGTAGTTTTTGTTTCTATAAGGAACATACAGACAGACAGACAGACAGACAGACGGACAGACAGACAGACAGACAAAAATTTTACTGATTGCATTTTTGGCATCAGTATCGATCACTAATCACCTCCTGATAGTTATTTTGAAAATATATTTCATGTACAGAATTGACCTCTCTACAGATTTATTATAAGTATAGAAGATAATAATTCCTTCTGTATTCATTTATTACTTTCTCTTATTTGTCAGGACTAACTTAAATGCGCCTAAACCTTTAGTTCTGTGGGGTTTTTTAAGCAGGTAATTGATCGCAATCACACCTTATGTTAAGTGCGATGCAGTTTAGGATGGTACATTTTCCTGGTGGTACATTTTATTGATTAGTTCATTTAAAAATATGAGTAGGTATAGATACTATTTTTAATAGCAAACCTGTACTTACTCATTAGGTACTATTCAATTAAAGATTAAGGCACTAGAGTAACTACAATAAAGTTAATGTAGTAAATACACACACAGCAAAGTACCAGTTTAAAAGATATCTATTATAAACTTTAACCTGATTCTTCAGATTCCATACTTTTGCTCGTAAGTAGAAGGAAGGATGTACTAAAATAAAACGTACCCTATATTCAGACTTCTGGTTTGCTGGTCGCGGAACATGTGGTACCATAGCGAGTATGGGATCGTCTTCAGCCTCAGGTTCCTCCAGAATCTGAACTCACAGTGGTGGTAGTTGTACACAGGCCTTTGGGGGAGCCATAGGATTTGGTTATCTGGAATAGTAATAGTTTAACATAATTATTAATATTATTTTTGGATATGATATATTAGAGTTTAACCGTTTGACTAAATAGCTCTACAATTTACCCCAGAAAAAACTGTTAGGACCTACATTCTATAAATCAGAATTGATCTTTGACAAACTTTTAACGACTGATTTCACACAATGGTTGAGAGATCTTGGATAATAACTACTCGTACATACGCTAATACGTTCGCCAGAGGTCACCTGTTCGATTCTAACCTACTTATATGACCCAGAACACTATTGTTTGGGTGCGTGTTTTCTGCATATTTCTAAAAAAAATCGAGTTCTGGTATCAATTAGGTACATATGGGCTTTTCTTGGTGGAATTATTAGATTACCTTTATTATCAAAGGATATGGAATGAATAAAATAAAATATAAGCAAATAAGGTTGTTCCAAAAACTTTATGCAACGTGTACCAGTTTATTTCACGATTGCGCGTTGATTTGTTACTTTTCAAAACACCATTTCTGTTCCCAAACACACTTTTACAACTTTTCCCAAATCGGGTCACTAAAATCGATGAGGAAGCGTTAAAGTTTGATTTAGAGTAGACAACCGGTTACCGAGGCGCCTAGCTAACTGTCTACCTACAGTTTACGAGCGAGTTAACTAGGGCGGTTTGCAACTGTAACCACGGTTTAACTATGGCATAGTTAATTCGAGAAGCTAATGAGAGAACTCTGTGGTTAGGTATCTATAGGTACGAATATTATAAGGATGAAGAGTTTGTTTGCTTGAACGCGCTAATCTCAGAAACTACAGGTTCGATTTGAAATATTTTTTGTGTTAGAAAGCCTATTTATCGAGGAAGGCATTAGGCTATATTACATCACCCTACAGTTAATAGAGGCGGAGCAGTAAAGACAAATGTTGCAAAAACGGGAAATACCATCCAAACTATTTTCACGCGTAGGAAGTCGCGGGCACAGCTACTATTTTGGTAAAGGCGTGTTACTGATTTTGATTGATGCCCAAAAGTGGTATGATGAAATTAGTTAACTGTTAACGTAATGCTAAGCACTTTGATTCCAGTTGTTTGTTTTGGTTAGCTTAATGGAGAGTTACTCTGGCAGTGATGTTTTCTTATAAGAATGTTGAGGTGATTGGCATAAATATAAGAATTATATTTCTGTTCTAAAAACATCTATTACAAGTTCATAAGAAATTACAGTGTATGGAAATAGTTCAATGGAATTTGTTACTAACATTAGCTCAGGATTAGCGATTTAGGGTTTGAAAACGAAACAAACAGACACATTTGTAATATACCTAGTTATAGATAATATTATGTAAAGCTGTTAAGTGACTTTGAATTAATCATCATTAAGTGTAATAAAGTGTTTTTTTTTCTCTCGAAAAACTGTAAAGTACGGACGACAAACATCAAGCTGTCGATACCTACTGTCGTATCTTATGTATTTATGTACTATGTTTTTTGTAAAATATGTACTCTTTAATTAAATAGTCAATGTAAGAAAATGATTACCACAAACCGATAGATACCGGAGGGCGCGAAGTTCGCTCAATCTGAGCGGCAGTTCGGTCAACTCGTTCTCATCTAATATCAGAAACTTTAGGCTTCTCATCTCACCAACCTCATCCGGAAGCTTTCTCAGCCTATTCCCACTTACGTCCAAACACTTAAGACATCTCAACTTGGATATCTCTTTGGGAAGTTCGGTAATATCATTCCCACTTAGATACAGACTTTCAAGGTTCTCCAGTCTGCAAATTTCTTTCGGCACACGAGATATTAGGTTCTCCTTCAAATAAATATCCGTCACTTCTGATTCTTCTCCGCTAAGACGGCTTAGAGGAAATTCGGTGAATCCCCTATAGTTCCAATGCAACACGTTAGCTGGCAATACATCTTGATTGTAATCCATGGTAACTCCTGTTTCCTTTTCAATAACTGCAGTTACTTGATTTATAACTAGTGTAATGGCTCGTGCATTTTGTTTATCAGATATTCACTCACGGGTTGCGTAATTTGTAAACATACCACGAGCCTGTAAACTGATTTGGGACGAGTTCCCGATGGACGCGATCGAAGAAGACTGCGTCAGGCCGCGGCCGTACGAGCGGTGGTTATTTTTAAAACTGTAGCAAGGTCTTTGGTATTGAAATTTTCGTCAAAATAAACTAGAGATAAGAGGTGACCTATTTAATAATAATGGGGTTTTTACGAATAAACATTTTTACCATTAACTAATATTATAGAGCTGAAGAGTTTATTTGTTTACTTGAACGCGCTAATATCAGGAACTTTGTTCCGATTTGAAAAGGCTATGATAGCATCACTTCTACAGTCAACAGGGACGGACCAGTAAAGAAAAATGATACAAAAGCGGGAAATATTATTATTTTTCACGCATACGAAGTCACGGACACAGCTAGTGTGATAATAATAATGTAATATGGAGATAAAACTATTCTAACCGTAGGTACGTTGGACACTTTATTGAAAACAATCAATTCACTTTACTGTTCCATATAAAAATTCACGAATTCTAGACGCCAAATTCTCCAGTTTAGATTTTCCGAAGTGGCGCTTTTATTTCCCCGTTGCATTTCAAGTGGGTTGGGAATTCGGTCAGAATTAGCATTGCTATTTTTCTGTTCTCACTTCTTTCATCTTTTATCTTTGAACTGGCAGTTTTGCAAACTGCGCTGCTAAACAAAGAGTTAAGTTGGGTTCACGCTACTGAGTATATTTGCAGTTAGCATACATTCTGGCACTTATGATCGCTAAGTAAAAAGAGAAGACCTAACTCAATCAAATCAGTTGATAATTATGGGGGAGGCCTTTGTCCAGCGGTGGACGTCATTTGGCTGAAACGAAGGTTAAAGCTAAGAACGCAAGAGTTAGTAAAACTACTATACCAACTAGGTACTTATAAAGGTTTTTTTATCTTGATTAATAACATTGTTTTCATTGTGTTAGTTACTAGTGGTACCACTAGGTTACCACTTATTAACTTTTTATTTGTCAGTCGAATTTGGGTCTTACAAGAAAACAGACTTTAATGTTAATTTTCAATATTCAGCCGTTGCAATATGTAGGTAATTTCCTTATACGAATCCCAAATTAATTATGTACGTAGCTAAAAGTCTTACTTTGAACTTTTGGCTACGTCATACATCGTGATGGGTTTTTAGCCTTAGCCTTAGCGTTAAAAACGATTTGTTTCTAGTATTTACAGGCAGTTTAGGTCAAAAAAGCAATATCGAGAGTGATATCTTCAGAACGGCTGGCAACTGGCCAATGTTTATCTGAACGTTTGAGGACAGAAGTGGCACGTTTCACATGTAAACAAACATTTCGGACGACATGTTGAAATAAACTGTGGCAAATATTGTAGTTGTGATAGGCGCGATTAAAATGTAAAGATTTTTTTTTAAAGATTATTAGTAGGTAATTTGTTATTACACAAATTACTAATAGTCCTGTTAGCCCCTCGTACTAAGCTAAATATGCTTGTGTCACGAGTGAGCTCACCACAATAGTCGAGTGGCGGCGGGGACCGAACCCGCGTTCCCCGGATCACGAGTCGGCCAGTCAATTTCCTCATATTATTTTCTTCCAAGTTAGTAATGAAAAGTGGAGTAGAACCTGAAAGTTTAATGTAGGTACATTTCAAAACAAATAGTACTTATTTTTGGCAGAAGATAAGCAAAGAGCAGGCAAAAAGAAACTTGAATAGAGTTCCAAACTAACTCTATCAACCTAAATAGACTATCAGACATTGATTATCTTGATTAAAATAGTTAAAGTAGATTAAAAGATGGCAATAATTTGTAATCATTTATTGAGGAAAAAACCTAGACATTTTTATACAGAAGACGGCACAACAAGTTTAACACTGTGCCTTTTAAATATTTATAATATGTAGTTAAGTGAGTGCTATTTTTGATCAAAAATGTGTGACTTGATATGCCGTCATTTGTATAAAGATGATATACAAAAGAACAGATCTAAATATGCAAATATCGATTTAGTTCAATATCACACAGTTTCAGTACTCGAATCTAATTCAGACTTCATATTTTGATGATGTTTTTGAAGGATATGCTACATTCATTAAAATAAATGCTGATTGGATGCTGATTTTAAAAAAAGTTTAGATTGCGATGTATGTTTCTAGGCTAGGTAAGTCTTCTTTCAGAAAAACTATATTTAACGACAAAAAAGTATTTTTAAAATTACGAGTGAATGAATTTTCAAAATTCAATTTCCGCTGAAAATTTGTAGTTTTGGAATGACAATTTTGTAGGTAAATAATAAAAAAGGACACCGATCAGCATTATAGAACTTAAGTAAGTAGCTTGTATAAAAAAGATGAGTGGCACAAAACTTTCAAGGCTCTAATGTATACCAAGAAGAATAATGATACACTTCAATTAACATTGACGATAATTATTATGTTTCTTATTATCCTTATATTATAGATTAAAATCACAAGTAGATATATCAGTAAATTGACAGACATATACATATAAACAATTTCTTTAGTATTGTCTACCTTATTATAAAAAGATTGGCAGATTGGTCGGGGTAGGGTATAATAATATAATATACATCTAAAGGAGAAGGAAAAGGACCTTGTAAATAGTATTAAATACGAAAAACAGCGAAAAAGTGCTTAATTTAAAACATTATTAAATTTCATTCGTTAGGCCACATCATTACGCTTACCCTTAATTTTCCCAATTTCTTCAAAATTTTATTAAGAATTTTTATATTAAGATCGACTTGGAATGGTTTTACCTAAATAATATTATGTATTAAGATTTGTAGACTAGTACATTGAAGTAAAGTACATTATAACTCAATGGACTAGTAACACTTTTTCATAACATTTTATCTAAACAATTTTATACAAAACGCTTGTATAATTCATGATAGATGAAGTTGAAAATATTTTATGAGATTTAGTTGTAATTACCTAACTTATTATTATGAATTACTAATTATAGTATTATGTTTTTATTGTTGATATTATGATATTCATGACGTAAGAAAAAATAAATATTTATCATCAATTATGACTATTTTGTCAAACTCTTTTTCTACACAATCACAATTACTAGTTCTAGAGTTTTTAAATATCTAAAAACAGAAACATTTTCACACTTTTTCTATGGATGCCAACAGCCAGTCTTAGCTTATGTGGCCACTGGCCATCAAAGCAATCATCATACTATTAGGCGGTTATCACACTGCGCCGCGCTCCGCCGCGGAGCGCGTGATTTTCATATAAAAAATCACGCGCTCGGACCCGTTGTCAGTGTGAAGTGCCGCGCGTGTTTTCTATACAAGCTGAGGTCACGGTAATACTATCATACAGTATTGTAACTTCATATAAACGGACGAAACGCGAGCTTTCCTTCGAAATTCAAATCTCGGTATGCGCTCGACATGCAAAAGTCGGGGGTGTCGCGAATGTGCCACAGTAATAAACGGACGATGTGTTGTTTTTCAAACAGTAAGCGCTCTTTTTTTATAAAAATAATTACAAGTACCTATTTATACAGGGTGTTAGGTAAATGGGTTTATAAGCCGACACTAGACCATGTTAACATACCTATACATATAAATGGTATGGTGAAGTCAGTGATATCTTCATTTCATTTTTTTTATTTGAATACAAAATAAAATTTATAAAATCAGATTTGTATGAAAATTAAAATTATTAAAATGATAATATCAATTTTCTGACTTCACCATACCATTTATAAGTATACCATGGGCTAGTGTCGACTTATAAACCCTTTTACCTAACATCCTGTATAATAATTAAGCATTTTGTACGCCTAAGTCGAGCGAGACGCATATGTACATTTTACGGTCATAAATTTATAAGATTTGTTATGAAATTTTAACACAAATATATTTTTTTAATTAAATCTACTAATCACAAAACAACATGCATTTTTATCCTATTTCATTCACAAAGTATTTTGTTTGTCAAAATAAAATTTAAAATTACAATCACAAAATACATTCACAATACTAGATAAAAATTCAAAGTAGGCAGATGTAATGAAAATAGGGTCTGCAAGTGGGCAGCCCTATCGCATGTTGTCATGCGGTGACGTTCCGCGCGACTGTTGACATTTGTTTAAAAATATGGCCGAGTTGGAATACTGTATAGTTATTATTACCGTGCTGAGGTACTTGCATACAATGATAAACCTGTCGCCCCGCGCTCCGCGGCGGAGCGCGGCGCAGTGTGATAACCGCCTTACAATAACCAAATATTATCTTCCTTACATAAACAGATACAGGTAGGTACACATAACTTAATCAAAGTAGAGGAGGCCAAGATGAGTTGTGACAAAGTCGATTTCTCTACAACTATGATTAACTATCGAGGTGCATTCACGCAAAATGTAGAGCATTTAAAGAGCAAAGAATTTGCGAAGTTGCTAGCTCGATAAAATGATGATATCTTTTCTTAAGGTTTACTTGTCACCTGTCACTCGCTTTGCACTGGAGAAAAGTCGAACCTTAACTTCGAACTCCTCCTATGTTCTTTTGATTAATTTCGTTGCGGCTCCAATGACAGTTTCCCCCGGGACAAACTTGGCCTTCACTGGTTGGATTTTTATTAGCGGTCAAGCTGTAGATCCTGGCTACACAGGAGTTGCAGTGGTGGGAACGAGAGGTGGGAATATTCCCGTTCAAATGAACTGTCACACGTTTAGAGATATTGAGTTTGTTACAACTCTCCTCGGTCTCCCCTAATCAGGTTATCTTCGAAAATCACATATATCTAATATCTACGGATGATCCTGACTCTCCTTCCTCTCCCGTCTTCATCGTCGCTGTCCACCGAAGCTTGGCGATGGCCCAGCATCAGGGCCTGGACCTCAGGGTTCAGGGGCAAGGCAGGGAACGATGAGCGCCGGACCATGGGCACGGGACGACCTCCTGGTACAGAGAAACATGTTTAAATCCCCATAGATTGGTAGGTTTATCAAGTAGTTTAGGGTAATATTTATTACAGAAAACATTTCGGTAACTTTGAAGTTCTTTTTACCCGACTGCGCCAGAAGGAGGGTTATGTTTTTCGAGTGTATTTAAGAATAGATAGATGTACCTACTTTAAATCTATACATATTTTATCCATGGAAAGTCCATGGAAAAGAAGATTATTCTGTTTAACTTACTACAATTATTATTCATAAGGTTAAATAGTGGTGTTTATGCCAACTACCGTAGAAAAATACTAGCGCTTCCACGTTTTCAGAAAAAGAGACGAAAAATAAAACTAATATGGGCTTTTTAATACATTTCATGGAACTAATTGTTTTGGTATTCTTTATCAAAAGCTAATATTAAGAGAACAAACCTAATAATGTACAAGTAACAACCCTTTTTGACCAGTTTTAAACATAACTCTAATTCGATATTGGGTAATGCATACCATACTAATAAAGTTTATGTATTAATTACGGGGTTGTTACCAATACATGATGTTATACTCATTTACTAATTGTACGTTAATTAATATGGATTACAAGTTAATTGAGACGGGTAAGGTAATATTAATAACATAGTATAAAATTACCTGATTATCGAAAAATCTAATTTCGGGGTAATTCATGTAGAATAATTTCCGTATTGAGAAACGACGTTAGTATCTCGATCGAAACTCATATAAAGATTTTTGATAATTAAGTTGAATTTAAACATTTAAATAATACGTAGTATGTACGTACGAGTAGGTATTGGAAGAGACTTCAAAATAGATTTTGATTTACCTATACACTTACACACCTTCAGCAGCTTTTGTTTTTATGTCAGAAATAATTAAACTACCTGTACACGCCATGCAAAAATAAATAAACTTTCACTTCAGATTCTTGGTATACAATAAAAATAAAATAAGTATGTACTACCTACTGAAGGATTTGAATGGTAAAATAAGAGAAAAACCCCAAGTAAAAAAATAATAAGCCAATTTGCTTTAGATAAAGCCAATTACTGAAATTATAATCTGATTAAAAGAAAGTCTGGTGTTTAGTCTACAAACTTAAATGTTAAATAAAAGAGTTAATGTTAGTAAATAAAGTAGTTTTTGAAATAACACTGTCTGATCTGTTTGATGATTCCCACCATTTGATTAATCAGGTGGAAAATGTTCAGTAGACTGTAATTTATAAGCTCCGTAATCAATGCCCACAAACAAAGTAAAATGCTCTAGGTAACTACCACACTAAAAACTAAAAAACATTCTAAAGAACCAATAAAACATTTTAGGTAATGCCAATAAAAAATAAAGCAGAAGTGCCTCTACTCTTCTACAAAAGTGAATTTTTATTACCTGAAAATCTTTATCAGTCGTCAGACAGACCTTGTTTTGAACAGAGATTAAAACAATAATAGAAGAGACAGATTAGAATTTGAATAAATCATAAACATTTACATTCACATTAGAAAATTGCATCATGACATTGTAGTTTGAAAAACAATGCTTATGTATTTTTTTGAGTTAACAACTTGACATACCAATTAGCTTGGCCACTGATTGTCGTTTAGCCAACCTGGGCTCAGCTGTAGATGTCTCGCTGATCGAAGCAGGCGCTGATCCTTCTGATTTAGGCTTCCTTTCACTCAAGTACGAGTTAGTTGAATCTCCCCTCGTATACGGTCGTGTTTGGCGTGTTTTTTTATCCTTCTTCTCTTCACCACTACTCGCGACAGTCTCAGAAATCTGAAACAGATGTAAACCAAACTTGCTGGACTCCCGTCGCAGCGGTTTCTTGTTTGNTTTGTTTGCAAACTCTGCCAATGACTGTCTTCTTTCCCCTTCAGGATTCAGCTTTAACCTCGCTCGTTCTTCTTCCTTCACTTTGAGCACATCCAAAATAGCGTTCACTGTTAATACTAAAAGAAAAACAGTGATACCAATCACTGTAACCGCACTGCCGTTATTATCCATATCTTCCATTAAAATCTTCTTAACATTGTCTTTTGGTTTTTCAGTCAATATTTGCATAACAGAGCAGCCGTCTTTAATGTAACGTCTAATTATTTTTTTTGGTTCCTCCTTCACTTTTGGCTCACTAGGAATGGCTATTTCTTTGTTATCTTCTAGATTAGGTTTTTCTTGTTTCAGATCTGGGTTTTCGCCATTATCTTTCAAGAACCACATATGAACACTGTACATGCCGTAGGCGATCACGGACAGAATAAAAAGCAAGATCTTACGCTCGGTCATGTTTACATCGCAATTGCGCTGGTTTATTTTGACAGGGCACCGCGCGTGCTTGTAATTTCTATTCGCGTACACTGTATTGTTTTGTAGTTTAACGCTTTCATTGATTTACGTTGGGCTTTTATTATTAACGATGTGATTTTTAACGATGCCGAATGAACGTTTGCTGTGCAATGTCTTGTTTTGTGTGGAACTGTAGGGCTGGATTGCGCATGTGCGGGTTGAAAATGGGTCGAAGTTGCTACGGTTTCGCTCACACTGAACGGTAGTTAGGGATAGCTCTTGTCAAAATGATAAGAGCTAGCTGATTAGTCTTTTGTCGGTCAGCAGAAAGTTTGGTTATCTGTAGTGGTCAACTGTAGCTTTGTTGAAATCAATTTAGCTGCATTTGAGTGCATACTATCTGAGCGATAAGCGTTACTTTCAATAACTATTATCTCTTATCGATCTCGTATGTTATTGATATTGCGTCATAGGTTTTTTGACGAGTAGTAGCGTAAAAGTAGGTAAGATTTTTGATTTTCTCATATTTCATAACATAAGTAAGTACGTGTATTGATTAGATTTTTATGTAACACATTCTATTACAATAACTAAAATGAAATTTAAAAAATAATATCAACCAGCTTCTGTCCGCTCATCGTTCGAGTAGATTCGTCAAATTTGACGTTTAGGCAATAGCCTAGAACATTTTCCATCAAAAACCGTCCAGTATTTTTTACGTATAAAAAATTTAACAAACATGTATCCATCTGTCTTCGCCATCCATTATGCCAAAATACCTTACCCAAATACCAATTTTTTTCACAGAAGACAATATTTGTATTTGTTACGAATCTCAATCCAAAATATTCATACAAAATTAAACTAGTGAATAAAACTACGGAGTGGTAGGAGATGTGTCTAATTTTAGAAACCACTTTGGTTACGACAACATAACGAAAGTAGGCTGTCGATTGAATTACGAATATGATAACGACGATTTTAACTGTGTCGGCATCGAAAATAAACCAATAGTCAATAAACGGACAAAATACAGAGACTTTTAAATTGACATGGGAAAATCGACCTTATTGTGCTGAGTTACAAGCGGTCTGGTCATGAGATGAGCTTGAACATAAAAATTTAGCAGCCAAATTTTCAGTCGAAAATACAGCGGATCAGACACATTTTTTATTGTTTTAAGAACAGTATTCATACTTATTACGTCAGAATAGATGTAGGTAATCTACTGTATCGATTCGTTAATGTTATAATTAATGTCTTAGATTTAGTTGCTAAACGACGAGCGTCACTTGCGTACTACTTAGTTATGATAGTGGTATTTATTTAACTGTGTGTAATAAGTGTAGCCTAATGAGCTTATTATGAGTAGGTAAGGAAAAAAGACACGATTTTAATTGGCACTAATAATTTAAAGCAACACCTAATCAGTCTATCTGGACTCAGATTTACAATTTTTGGTTTGCTTTTGTATTTTTTTTTAAAGAAGAACAAGGCCGATATTTGTCCTGATACAGTACGGTACATTATCTGCCCTGTAAGTGTCTATTCACACTTGTCTTGAAAAGGCCTGGATAAGGTGACTGAGTTTTTTCCGCCACTTCTTCTAAGCACCAGCCCATATGTTGTCCCGAAGTGAGAGTAGGGCAAGCTATACATATTATTACGATGGGAAAGGGTTTTAGTACTGAATAAAAGCTTATTTATTATTTATTATTGGTTATTGGGCCTTCATTTGCTCCAGCTCGACCAGGTTTGGTCTATTGTGGCAGCCCTTGTCTTTAGAGTTCACTGCTTAGTCCCGTTGAGTCTATAAATTTCCAGATTCTTTGGAGCGTGATATCTGCTATCTCATCCGGGTGCATGATGTGTCGCCCGAGATGGATACTTCTTTTGCTCATAAGCGGGCCGCATGAGCAAAGAACATGCATGGCCGTTTCTTCTTCTGTATGGCAGAATCTGCACAGAGTTTCCTCGGTCATGTTCATGTAATAATAAAAGCTTTGACTTTGACATTATTATATTAATACTAGCTTTCCGCCCGCGGCTTCGCCCGCGTGGAATTTTGTCTGTCACAGAAAAACTCGCGCGCGTCCCTGTTTCAAAAACCGGGATAAAACTATCCTATGTTCTTTTCCGGGACTCAAACTATCTCTATGCCAAATTTCATCAAAATCGGTTGCGAGGTTTAAGCGGGAAAGCGTAACAGACAGACAGACAGACAGACAGACAGACAGACAGACAGAGTTACTTTCGCATTTATAATATTAGTTGGGATTCTCTTTGTACCTTCAACAGCCCATCACAAGCAGGTAGAGTTATTAAAATTCAGGATAAGCTATATCCTAGTTTCAGGTTTCAGTTCACACTGAAAAGCAAATAGAAGTTAGGGAGTATTTTGTCTAAAGTTATAATTTGAAATTAGTTTTGGTTAGAACTGTGCATGCAACTGGATTATGTATCCTTTGACCTGAGACCGTAACTCAAAGTTAGTAAAACTTCACTTCGTTTAAACGAGTTTTGTGTTATCAGATTATTCCGTTATTGTATTTTCCTTGGATAAACGTACGATAAATGATTCTTAACAAATAGAAAATAAATTAAATATGTTTTAGATGGTTAGTCTGGCCAGTAGGTATGGACTCTTAATATTGAACATTGACATGGATAGCTGCAACGAATGAACTGGCCAGCGTGAGGAGTGTAGACCAAATCCTCCATTTGTTTCTGGTTAATTAGAGAGGGCTGTCTTCTTGCTATAGAGACTTAATGAACTGATGATGGTAGTTCAATTAACCAAGTAAACAGCCTCCATTAACGCAAAGCAAAGCAAACGCCTACCGCTTTACGCTTTTATGTTTATACTTTTTTGTAATCAGCTGAAAGTTTTCTTGTATTACTGTTCCACGCCGCCAATATTATCTATGTACAAAAATTCTTAAATAGGCACCTATTTCAAAAAGCTAATATGATAAATTATTGTTTAAATTCAAAAGTCGAGTCCCAGGTGGGGAGTCCCCGAACGTAGGAATTGATACGGGATATATTCGTACATCCAATCTTTTAGTGGCAGCAGCGGTACCAAGGCGGCCAGTTACGGCCCGGAAAGATTTCCATTTCCCGCTTCGCCGCATTTGGCTGTGCATTAAAATATGCAACGGGGTGCTATTCTGGAATTTTCGTTCAATAATCATTTTTCTGCGTCCAGCATTTCGCGGTACGCGGCCTCCATTCCAGAACCTTGCTGCCAATCGATCAACGTGGAAAGCATTAGGGGAGGCCTATGTTCAGCAGTGGACGTCCTATGGCTGAAATGATGATGATGATGATGAATCATTTTTCATTTTTTAATAATCCGTTAAACGTATTCAGAGGCCAAGGAGAACGGAAAAGAGTTAGGGTCTTGCCTCGTAGTGGCCCCTAATGAACAGGAAAATACCTACCTAATACCTATAACTCGCGTATTATTGAATCTATTCGGATAAGTATTAGGTCGTAAAGCAATTCAATTAATGTAGATGGTTTTAGACAGTAAAATTTCCAATTTTTTTTCCTCAGGTTTCTTATTATTCTTCTCTAATTAATTTTATTTTTTCCTGTTTATCTGTAAACAACTCCAGTAAGTAAGCACAATATTCTCCTAGCAGTAATAATTTGTTTTTCTAAACAATGAAAACGCTCAGAATAGCGCACCAAAAACCCCGCGTTATCAGATCTCACCTGTCGCACTAGCACTAGCTGCAGAATCACTACCTATTGCTACAAAAATACTATGTGGCACTGCTTAATAATATGTTTTCCTAAACAATTATGAAAACGCTCAGAATAGCGCACCAAAAACCAAGCGTTTGCAGTTCGCACCTGTCGCACTAGCGGCGGAATGCCCGCACTACCTATTGCTACGTGCCGGGTAATTTCATAGCCTTATTTGCAATGAAAATGTTTGCATTTAAAATAAATTTTCGAATATCCTGATGTTTGTGTTTGGATGCCATGTTAAAAAAATACCTAACAGGCTTAGTGGTGGTAATAAATAAATTGTGTGTCAGAACTACGGTATTAGCGTTGTACATACTTTAGTTTTCTTACTTTACTTTAGTTGTACTTAGCTTCTTAAGACAGCTACTAGAAGTTGTCCCTACTTATATCCGCAGTAACGTTAAAGATAAGTTGTCTTGAAAATGGTTCTGAAACAATTCTGTTAGACATTTTACTATAGAGAATTATTATTGAGGAAAAGAATAGGTTATTCTTTTAACAATCGTTGATAGGTCAAACCTAACCCAAGGAGAGAAAAATGAACCAAAAAATATTAAAAATAATTAATACTATTAAAGAGATTAAGGGCTGATAGGACTATTCGCACCGCACCCCATGTGCTTAAAAGCTCCATTCAATAAGTTCTCGGGCAATTCACACCGCGGTCCGAAACCGAATGACTCGTGGTGCTAAACACCTGAAACCCGTCTCACACAGTGCAGCATCAACAAAAAGCTTTAGCCTAGGCGCAGACCACCGATTTTTTGTCGGCCGATAGTTGGGCCCGATTTTAATTTGTATGAAGTATCGACCGATACCAAATCGGTGTAATGTAAGTTCGCACTTTCATACATCTCCATACTGATTAACTCTCCGACTAAACTATCGGCCGACGAAAAATCGGTGGTCTGCGCCTAGGCTTACATTAACCATATCAGATTCCAGTTAGCGCAAAATGAATTTCGGCATAGATTTCCCGAAACTGTATCACGTGTGAACCCATCAATAATGACACGCGAAAATGTGGGCGAATCGAATGGATGAATGTGCCTGCATCAAGCCGCGCGATTAGCTGCGTATCGTGTGGTTAGCGAGTGTAGGGTGGCCATAATATCTATCGTTGGTTTCAGCCAAATTAAAAATTAAATTAAATTTTAAAATTAAATTAAAATTTAAAAAATAAATTTCGGACAATTTAAAAAAGTCCATAATATGCGAGTTGGTAATAAACATAAACAAAGGAAAATCGTACCCTGTGCAGAGACGGACCATCATGGGAGTGGATAAGGCCCCGTGATCAGTCTCTGTACAAGACACTTCCATAGCGGCGATGTGTATCTGTCCGCTAGGGTCCTCAGAAAGCTGTTGCGACTGGCTCGCACCCTGGTAATAAGGGATACAGATTTCTTGCGTATTATGGCGCTAAATTGACGTCCACTGCTGAACACTGAGTTTGTTGCGGCGCTTCTTCTCA